TGTTAATCCTCACCTGAGGATATTTTTCCATTGATTTTTTTAAAGAGAGTGGAAGAGAGAGAGAGAGAGAGAGAGAGAGAGAGAGAGAGAGAGAGAGAGAGAGAGAGAGGGGGGGGGGGGGGAAACATTGATGTGAGAGTAACATATCAATTGGTTGTCTTCCACATGTGCTCTGACTAGGGCCAGGGACAGAACCACAATCCAGGTATGTGCCCTTGACTGGGAATCAAACCCGAGACCTTTCAGTGCATGGGCTGACACTCTAACTTCTGAGCAGCATTGGCCAGGGCAGGTTTAACTCTTAGGAAATAATAAAGTACCCATGAATTACTTGATTAATTAATAATACATCTTAAAAAATAAAATGAAAAGGATTATAAAAGGGTAATTTTTGGCCCTGTTTTCAGTCAAGTTGAGTCCTTTGCTGTCCCTCAAATCCCACCCATAGGTAGGCATCTACTTTGTTGAGATATTTGACTGGCTTGAGTATTAATAGCACAGAACACATTTTTATCCTTTAGAAACTTGGAGGTGGGGAGGTATTTTTTTTAATCTTTATTAATTTCAGACAGGAAAGGAGAGGGAGGGAGGGAGGGAGGGAGGGAGGGAGAGAGAGAGAGAGAGAGAGAGAGAGAGAGAGAGAGAGAGAGAGAGAGAGAGAAACATAAGTGATGAGTGAACCATTGATCGACTGCCTCCTGCACGCCCCACACTGGGGATCAAACCCACAAGTTGGGCATGTGCCCTTGACCGGAATCAAACCCGGGACCCTTCAGTCCACAGGCTGATGCTCTAACCACTGAGCCAAACCAGCTAGGGCAAGACACAGTCTTTTTTCTAGGAAACCCCAACATCTGGTTACCCATCTAGTCACAACGATCATGTTTCTGTCTAACTCATATAGCTGTATGTCCTAGTATTGACATTCAGTCTTCTTAAAGTACAAAGTGCTTCACATTTTTAATTGTTCAGCTGCACAGGGAGAAGTATATTGTTGTTACTAAGAGCAAAGCCCAGAATCCAATTTGGAGACCTTGATTTTCATAATGTTTTCAAACCATCTAATCAAGCCTTCTTTCTTTTACCCGTTTCCTTTTTCGCCTTTCTACTTCTTCTCTCTTTGTACAGTATGTCTTAACACAAGAAAAAAAAAAACAACTTTCAAATGCAAAGAGAAAAATGGATGGTAATTATTATAAATGTCCCATTACAACTAGGGCCATTCAATCTGCTTACTTGAACATGTAAAGAATTTTCTCTCCTCTGAAATACACTGCACAAATAAGAGTGTATTCAGATATAATTTCATGTGATTGCCCTATATTAGAAGCTCCTGACCACAACTCTACCAAGTGTTGTTAAGCACATAAGCAAACTGCCTCCAAGTAAATCCTGTCCATCATATCTTTATTTCATTTCACAAAGATTCTATTTTGCAGGCAAACTCTGGAAATGTTGCCTTCCTATTAAATAGCAAGAAAGGAAAATTTGAAGGTAGGAGAGACCTGGAAGGATCTTTACTACAAAAATTTGTTTGTTTCAAATGCATTTCCTCCCTTAGCTAAAACTACACAGCAGGTCAGAAAAACCCATGTAGTAAAAGGCAAAATCAAATAGTAAACTATAAAAGCAGAAACATTAAGTTGCTATAGTGAACTTACTTCACAGCTAAATTAACCAGTGAATGTTTTTTAACAGCACTGAAGGGAGGACAGCCAAGTTTAAGAAGACTAGTCTTAAACTTAGTTTTATTTATTATTTACTCCTAGAGCAGAGATTCTGATACTGAAACCTGGGGTGGGTCTTAGAGATCTGTGAATTCTCAGAAATTTGGGGTGTCCTTGTATATGTGGGCTCTCTCTCCCCCTTCCTCCTCCCGGGAGATGATCTATAGTTTCCATCAGATTTTCAAAGGGATATAATCTAAAAATCACTATTCTTAGAGAATTCTTTAAGGAATGTGGAAAAGCTGGATACAATATCAGATAAAGCCTGATGTTTATGAGATCAAAGATATGCATTTGGGTTATTTTTCTCTGAAAGACAGTCAGATCAGTCTTATCTATATAGCTATAGCAAAACCAGTTATAGAAATTAAAGAACAGCTGAGAATATAGACAGGCCCATTGTATGAAATAGGGTAATACTCAGAGCTATAACATCATCATTATCTTAGTAGCTTAACAAAATAAAAGTTTACTTCTCATTCACACACAAAGTCCAATTCCTGGTCAATTAATAGCATTCCTCGTGATCATTCAGGGATCCAGGCTCCTTGTATCCTATGCTGTCTTCTTTTATAGCCTTGAAGTCCTCTGTTAGAACTTCAATATTTTGCCATTAGATAAGGAAGAAAGAGAAAGTACAGAAGATTACATGAGGGTTGGACATCTTTTCTACCCACACTCCTCCAATCAAGATTCAGTCACATGGCCTAACCTAACTATAAGGGAGGGTGAAAAGTAGTCTTAACTGCATTCTTCAGAAATTAAAAAAGAAAAATGACTTTGGTGAATGTCTAGCACCTCTCAAATGAAACAACAGAACCAGGAAAAGTTAGGAGATCAAGAAGACATGCTGCTTTAGATACTGGAAGAAAATCCAATGCCTCAGGAAGACCAACATATTCCACAGAAAACAGGCTAGAAAACAGTGAAAGAAAGAGTTTTACAGGAGGTAGGAAAGTGTCCAGAGTAAAGAACCCAGTGACCTAAACCATATGAGCAAAAATGCTTAGAATTTTAGGCATGGAGGTAGGAGAAATTTGGGAATTTAGTGATCAATAGTAGAGCCCAAGTCACCTAATAGTATTTAGGATGATGTGAGGTTAGGAGTAGCAATAAGAGTAGGATCAGGCAAGAGCAAGAGTGAAATAATCAAGATATAGGAAGACTACAGAGTCAAGACCATCTATTTGTGAGGTGACTCCTTGATGACCAGCATGTTGGACAAGAGCTCTCTCATGTCTCCTGGCCAAGGTCAGGATTGACCCTGGAGTAGTGCCCAGCCTACAGATAGGGTCAGCTGTGAGAAGAGACTCTGGAGACCTGATAGGACCTGAGAAGACCCATCCTCAAATGTTCCCAGGAATCTTACTTTGCTTCTCCATCACAGACAACAATCCTGACTAACCCTAGCTTCCTCACAAATTGTTCTGGGATGAAAAGGAACATCTGAATCAGTACCAGTCCTTCAGAGCACAAAGCAAATGCCCCACTAAGAGTACGGAGAACCTGGGATAGCACATTTGCTTAGGAGAAATAATAAAATTAACTGCCCATATGTGCAAGACATGGTTCTTGGGCTTTAGATATATTTATCCATTAATCTTGACAAAAACTTTTATTTGAAGGATATCTCTTTATTACCTCAATTTATAGGCTAAAAACTGAGCAACAGTCACTTATAAGTGACTTGCTCAAGTAAGTGGCAGAGCTGGGGTTCTGCCTCCAAAGTCGATAATCTTAACCAGTATGGACACTGACTTTCTTAGAAAGTCAAATTTGGCCCAAATTTCATATAATATTTCATCTGATTATTGGAGGTGTCATTGAAGACACATCCTTTAATTTGTTTCCCCCAGAAATCGCATCTTACCATTTTCTTTCCATAAAGTTGCCTCATCCTTTGGAATGAAGACAAGTCATGGATATCCTAAGAATGAGTCATGGACAGTTCCTTGGAGTGGCCACCCTCTCAAAGAATGCATGCTATTTTGTAGTAACAAGCTTTGAAATACAATATGTGACATGAATGACTGCAGAATGTCAAGGTTAGAAGGAAGCTTAGGGACCACAGTCCTACCCATTTTAGTACAGAGAAGCTAGTAGCTTTCAAAATGTCCCTGAGGAATAAGAGCAGATTGTTCTGACTTGCCCAGTAAAATACTTGCCTCCTTACCTCAGAACATTTTCTCTATGCAACATAAAGGGATCATGAGGGTTAAAAGCCAGAACCTTTTAATAGTGATATAAGTGACTGCATGGATTCTTAGGTTGCTAGCAGGACTGTGAAAAAGATAAAAGGGTTCAACTTCATGAATTTGTTTTTTTATGAAATAAGGAATCTAAGATTTTATATAACTAATCAGGAGTTATATATCCATCCATTCATTTTATTCTATCACCCCAGACTTTATCCCAGCATTTATCCATCCACCTATGTAGTTATTCATCCCAACCTTTATCCCAGCTTAATTCATCCATCCATCCATCCATCCACCCATCCATCCAACCACCCATGCAGGTATTTATTCATTCATTTGCAAAAGTTTTCACTCTTTACAAAATATCTACTGAGCCAAAATTTGTACTAAATCCTGTTTGTTTTTTTAGCAACTGCAATTAATGTTTTTCTTTCTATTTTTCAGATTTCAGTATATGGGATTCTAGTGCTTTCCATTATAAAATAAACTTTCCATTATAAAATAAACTTGATATTAAATATGTTCAGGAATCATAGTAAGGCCATTATTTATGGCACACTTTGCAGATTGCATCCATTAATTCAAAGGAAAGAGAGTATCACTTAGGAGTATTTTCTTTGTTGCTCAGGATCTTATTTATGGCCTTAAGTATCTTTTATAGGCTACGTACTTAGTCTCAAGACAAACATGGATAAGGCTCAATCAACAGTGAACTGCCTTCAGAACCAAAGAAGTACTCAGATTTCAGCAAATTGTGTCTCTGAGAGCTGTAAGGCCCTGCTGTCCTTGATGAAAAGTACCCCCCTGTGACAAAGACATGTATGCTCTGTTTTCTTGGAGGACACTGGAAAAGGGATCTCTAATCCTGCTTCCCTGTCAGGACCACCAGTTAGTGTTGTTTGTTCAAACACTGTAATCCACCTTCTACTCTAAATAATTCTACCCCAATGGCCAGGGCTCCGCTAGTTCTAAAAGTCTAAAGTGATTTTGTGCAGCATTTGGCTGTGTACCACATGAGAACATCATTTTCTGATGATAATGAGGGAGGAGACGACTCAGAAAACAAAGCGCAATATCAAGGTGCCAACACCCCAAATGTATTTATTCACTTTTGTATTATGGATGGGAAAGGTTTTCCTTGCTACAAAAATTTGTTAAAAACAAGTTGATTGATGCAAACCATTAAGGAGTAGCTACAACTATTATCTATTGTAAACAGAATAATAAGCAGAAAATAAATAAACAGAAGCAACTACTGTGGTGTATACAGACATTCAATTGTTTTCTGTTTTAAAACTGATATGAATGCCACCCTTTTATTTCTTTATAGTATTTTTCCTCGAGACACATTTTTTTAAAATTGCACATTGCTTTGTTCTTCTCTTGCCAGTTCAGGTTTGTAGTATACCAAAGAATTACAGAAAACTGTTTTACTACAAAGGTGGGGGCCATATGGTCATTTATATAATACAAATGAAAAAGAAGCAAGATACAAAAACACGTGTGTGTGTGATAGGTGCTCAGTGCTGTGAATACTGACTGGTAGGAAAGGCTTTAAACTAGTGGTCATCAAAATGATATATAATACCTATTAAACACTCACTTTGCTAGAAGCATGTAAACTCACTGAATTGGCTGTTCAAAGAGCAGACAAACAGAATTCCCGGATACTGTTTCCATTGGGGTTCTCCAGTTCGTATGGTTCCAGCTGGCGGTACTCAAAAGACACACGGTTCACATGCTTTCCGCTGGACACCATGCGCACCACCGAGTTGTCACAGCCTATTTTCATTTGGGCTACAATTCATGGAGAAAAGTAACAAGTTCCCCAGCAAGTTAGAAACCACACAGCAAAGACACATCAGTCAATAAGATCATTTAAACTCAAAGAGAGAGGTTGCATCTTCTTCTCATGGGCTCAAATTATGCCACAAGGGGAAACGTTTTTGTTTTCATGTTTGTTAGAATATAAAATTCACTTCAGAATTGTGACATTGAGTCAGCTTTCCTCTTCGTGTGCAAGAACACAGTGAGCCAAATAAATCTGGCCTCAGAGAGGCAAGAAGAGGTCTCCTTGCCCTTTTCATACTCCACCTGCAAGGCTCTGGTGGTGAAGGCAGGGGCCTCCCCACATTAACCTTCATTCTAGTTCCGTGTTCTCGATGGAGACAGGACTGCCTTCCAGGGACAGGCTGGGAATTAGCAGGGGCAGTTTTTGGTTGTCATAACATCTGGGGGTGCAAATGATACGGAATGGGGCAGGTTGGAGGATAAGTTGTTCTGCTAAACATAGATGTTGACCAAAAAGATCACCTGTTTATTATTTGCTGAGCCTAGATAATAATTGTTTTACATATAAACAAAAAATATTTTGCATGGTTTAGATAGACCACACTAAATATATTCATTTTTTCCATTATCCACCTACATCTTTCTCATTTTTTCCATTTCTCTCTCATTTGATTCATTGCCCACCTACCTTTTTCCTTCTTTTTTCCATTTATCTCTCATTTTTTCCTGTGCTTCAAAGAAGGAATGATTATTGATATCTTTACTTCTCTTAAATCCAATCTTATCCATTATTTGTACAAGCACCTGGCAATGATTATATATCTTTTGGTACAGATGTGCCTGAGTGGTTATATATTGAAATGCACCATTTTTATTAAAAATTACTTCTATTTTACTCTTCTAGCCTCAGGCTGGCTCCTGAGACAGGATTTATCTGCCCTATAGTAATCCTTTCTGATGTTTTAATCTACTTAATCTCCCTCCACCCACTCTGTCTCTGAGAAACACTAGCATTATTGTGTGACTGGTGCTTGACAAACAGGTGCCTGGTTTTAAATGAAATAAAACCACCAGACAGAGTTACATATTGAGGTAAAAGTCAATTTGGAGACGTAGTTTTAATATAAGAACCAGGGAGCCTGCATTATGCTTCTACAAGGAGGTTCAAATTTAATTTTCCTTACATGACTTGGAAGGTCATTCTTTTTCTGATCTGGCCCTGAACTTTAATCTACATACCATGGCCCATTTCCTTTAGTTAATGTGCACATTATTGATTTGACATAATTACTAAGAAAGTCCAATTGAAAGAGCAGGGTCGCTAATAGTTCTTCATTGTCTGAACAACTTAGGAGGGGCTCCTGGAAACATGGTGAATGAAAGAAAAAAGTGAAGTTAAAATGAAACAATGAGTCATAGAATTCAAGCCTTAGAATTATTTTAAGACTAGTTTCAATCATCTGGATAATTTAGGCAAAAGTATTGTTGTTGTTTTTGGCATTAGTCTTACCATTTTGCCTAATTCAATTCATATAATTCGAGCACCAAAATTACTCTGACTTCAATTATCTAAATTATAAGGTATGGGTGTTTGTTCATCTTTAATCTAAACTTCATACCCAGTTCATACGCATCACCCATTGGCATGGAAGGATGCATTGCCTCAGAGAACACATGCAAAGGGCAAGAGAAGCGACTTGCACTGACAGTTTAAAGTTTTAAACCATAGCTCAAGGGTAAATTAGCGTTAAATAACCCCTGTGTTTGCAGCAAAGTGAGTTCTTAGAAACCTCTTGCCTTTACCTTGATTATCAAGCTTGCTCTGGACCCAGTCCTGCCTTAAATCTCATCTGAAGCTCTTTTATACAGGCCTGAATGAGGGACGGTGGACACCACATGTTGGGCCTTAGTGGTTACCGATGCATATTAATTCTATTTCAGAGATGTTTTGTTTATTAAAGTTTCCAGTATTAGCTCAGAGAGAAAAAAATACTGGTGTGCAGACCTGGTTTTAATGAAAACAGGCAACAGCTGACCAAAGGATGTCTGATTTACAGCTTCATCATCTAGCTCAGTGATCGGCAAACTCATTAGTCAACAGAGCCAAATATCAACAGTACAACGATTGAAATTTCTTTTGAGAACCAAATTTTTTAAACTTAAACTTCTTCTAATGCCACTTCTTCAAAATAGACTCGCCTAGGCCATGGTAACTTGTGGAAGAGCCACACTCAAGGGGCCAAAGAGCCGCATGTGGCTCCCGAGCTGAAGTTTGCCAACCACGGTTCTAGCTAATTAATGATCTGTAGTTACAAGAAAGGAAAGGGGCTATTATAAGAATTTGCCATGAGGTTAAAGACTATTGCCATTTCTCTCCTGTTTCACTTTCGTCTCTTTAAATATAATCACCAATTCCTTCCAACCTTAAAAAAAGCATCCTTGTTACTTCGTGGGTTTCGCTCCCAGTGTCAGATATTTTGGTGATGCAATTCTTCACAGTGTATGTAGCCTTACGTGTAAAATCCTCACACTGGCTCCATGTACAAAAAGATTTTTGGTGGGACCTGCTTTCCCATGTATAAGAAATATTAGGTGCTTTACTTAAGGAAATAATCCTGATGGGAACATAAATAATGATCAAAGACACATCTCACCGGGGCCGTGGAAGGGATAGCAGAGGTCAGCTAGAGGCATCATCTTGGAAGGGTCCAGTCCACTTCCTCCAAGCAGCTCCACAAAGTCTCCTTTCCCCCCACAGCCTGCCGTGGGCTTCTGAGAGAAGAGTCACAGGGAAAGAGATATGTAAGCCAACTATGGAGTCAAACCACTTGACCAATGGCAAGTGGTGAGTTCACTCAATCAGCCCTGGACATCCTGATAGTGCCATTTCATTCAACATCTAGGACTCTGAAAATTAAAAGGCATTTACAATGTAAAGAATGATAAGAATTGCTTTTCTAAATCAGTTGAGTAATCATTTTTAAAAAAAATGTGTATTTTTAAAATAAGTCCAAGTACTTCAATGATGAAATGGGAACCTGTAAACTCCACATAAGATGTGTAAAAAAAATGAAATCACTCAGACATACATACTAGAATATTTGAATTAATGCATGGAGCCAGAGAGTTTTCATAAATAGGACTTTCTTTCAACTCACCTCTTTTCCTTTTCTTTATAAAAGACTTTTTCTGCGATTGGGATGACGTTTATCATTTCTACTGATAAGGATTTAGAATAAATTCAAATATGACCTGTGGGGCTCTGTGCACCCTGGCCCTGCCCATCTCCCTGACATGTGGGCTCACTTCCCCTCTCCTTCTTTCCATTTCTGGAACCCAATAAGCTCATTCCTGCCTCTGGGCCTCTACACTACTGCTCTCCCTGTTCCTGGCTCTTCTTGTGGCTGCTGGCTCCCTCATTACTATCACTAACGTCTCACTTTGTCTCCTTCTCAGAAAGTTTCTTTCCTGACCACCTTAGTATCTCAAGGAGCTCCCCACCCCTCTTTCTGCTCCCTTGTCCCCAGTTGCTATCTGTCACAGCACTTCACCTCATTTTCCTTTAGGCACTCACCACTGCCTGAAATATATGAAATATATGCAGTTTTGCCTGTTACATGCCACTGAAATGCAGGTTTCATGTGAGCAGGATCCATTTTGTTTGCATCTAGAATAGTGCCTTGAACATAGTGAGAACTCAAAAAAATATTAGGAAAAGGAAAGGATGCCTAGAAAAATGCAGTCTTTAATTTTTTTAAGAGGAAACACCAAGATTACTTACTCCTCATAGCCAAGAATTACTGAAGTGCCAATCTCCCAGTCTGGTATCACTCTTGCCGTCTTTTATACTGTACATCAGGAATAATATACGAACAACCTCAAGGCAATAAGGCTATGTCATATATAGACACCCACTTGTTCTTGTCTTTATCCAAGAAATATTCTTCCACTAAAGTCGCCCTCCAAACAAACAAACAAACAAAAAGCACTGGCCCACAAATTTAGAGCCTAAAGGAAATTAGATATGCTCCTTTTTTAGTCCTAGTCCTATTTGTCTTTCCCTGAAATCTGTCTGATTAGGAGCTATGACTGTCCTTGATGCCAGCAAATACACGAGCTATCTTAACCTCCGCACAAAAGAAAGTAAAGGAAATGAGGAGGATGACTCATAGGGAAGGCGCCACCATTGCAAGTAAAGGTCAAGCTCAGCATTTATCCTCAGATCCATACAGAAGTTCATGGGAAAACAAGTTGATGGAGAATCTCAACTAATATTCGTTGTACAATGTATTGAATTAAATGTAATGCCAAAAAAAAAAAAAAACCTCTCCAAAACTTCACTGTATTTTGCAATATAAAAATCCAATTTCGCATTTTCTGCTACCCTTAGCATTTCTTCATAACACAGTCAATGAGATACTTCCTTCATGTCAAAAGAAAATTCCAATAGTCAGAAAAACAGCTGTGTAGATGACTCATACTAGGTTCTGCTAGGAGATTTTTTTTTAAAGAGGCAAGTACAAGAGAGTTCAATTGTAATTATATGCCACACATTTACCAATTGAAAACATTTCTTGCATCACAAGCAAAGTATTCAAGTAGCACAGGGGACTCCTGAGTGTGCAACTTCCAGCTTCACAGAAACGGAAAAGGGGTTTGGTTAAAGCAGTGAGGGGCACACACCTGTGAGACTTATGGTTGCACAGGACAGACTACTCCAATTGCTAATGTTCTTGTTTACCCTGTATGATACTTTTGCTCTGATAAAGCTGTGGCTTTAGTAAATAATTTGAAAGCAAGTAAGCAACTCACCTTTAACTGCAGGCCATTTAAGTGTCCCAGGGTGAGATCAGATATTTTGATCATCACAGGATAAATTATGGAGAAGCTGCAGTTTCGATGCTGATGTGGAACTACCAGGGTGAACCTTCCATTTGGGGTTTGGGAAATGACATTGCAGGCTTTGCAGAAGAAAAAAAAATCACATTTTCACTATTTGGTAAACTGGTTTTTATAGACATTTGCTCCATCCTTATGTTAGGCTCCCATTCATGGTCTCTAGACCGTGGTCGGCAAACTGTGGCTCTTTGGCCCCTTGAGTGTGGCTCTTCCACAAAATACCACGGCCTGGGCAAGTCTATTTTGAAGAAGTGGTGTTAGAAGAAGTTTAAGTTTAAAAAATTTGGCTCTCAAAAGAAATTTCAATCATTGTACTGTTGATGTTGACTAATGAGTTTGCCGACTACTGGTCTAGGGACTTGTGGCTTGGAAGAAAGTACATTTCACAAAGGCAGTTCAGAGGTGGGAAGGGTTTGGGGAATGAAAGCCACCAGGGGTGTATGGATGAAGCTTTTGGGCTGCCAGGAGCTTTTAATATTAATCTCAGGGGGTTATCTTGTTTATAATCAGAAGACCCAAATTCATAACCAACCAAGCAATACCAGCTGTAACATTTCAGTTAACTGGGGTCCAAGTTCAAGCTGGGAGTTTGGAAGAATCAAGACTTTCAAGCTGAGGCCAGAACTCAAACCCTATCTGTCTGGAGCCTTCACTCATTGAATTTGGGGCCAATGTTATTTTTCAAATAATAAAATAAATGAACAATAAAATAGTCATGAAATAGGCTGAGGAAAAAAATAGAAAGAAAGCAGGCTTACATCTGGATAAATATTTGCTTAGTGTTAAAGGGTAAGTTGACTAAAAGATAAATTTTAATGTTTGATTTACTCCCAAGAATTTTCTGAAATTTTTTGTTTTGCATCTCAAGTCTAAACTTACAAATTTATTCTTCTAGCTATGAAACTAGAAGCATCAGTTTATGCCTTCCCTCCCCCCTCCAAAAAAGTTTCTAACTTATCAGAATAGGTCAAAACTACCTCTTGCCTCCTTCCATATTTTTTAATTCCACTTAATTTCAAAAAGAACTGAAATTCCTTGACAATTCTGGAAGCTTCTGATTTATAACCAAACAAAATAGACTAGAAGTATTTCATTTTTCCCCTCCAGGATTGTCCTCAGAAACAGCCTCTTTTGAGGGCTTCTTTCAAAATAAAAAATAAAAAACAAACACAAAAATTGAAATATCAGTCAGTACCTTATTCTTTGGCAGATTAGGTCCATTCTTTGACCATATGAAATGGTAATACCAATACTACTGCATGCAACCAAAAATGAATAATAAGTTTTCTTTTCCTGAATTAATTGTTTATTTTTATTGTTGATGCTATTGAAAATGTCCCCATTTTCTCCCTCTTTACCAACCTCCACCCAGCCCCCTCTTCCCTTTGGACATCACCATACTGTAGTCTGTGTGTTATGCTTATGCTATTTGGCTAATCCCTTCACCTTCTTTCATCCAATTAATTTTTTGTTTGTTTGTTTTAATGGGAGAAAAATAAGCAGATGAATGAGTTCATTTTGATTAAGATAATGTATTTTAGGCCTGGGCTGTTCAACTTTTTAGCATCTATATAGGCATATCCACCAGCAATGAATTAAATTACAGTGGGAGACGTTGAATCAGAAGGCAACTTTGAGGTCCTGGTCTAACCTTCTGCCCAGGCATGAAATCTGTCTAACACATCCCAGATATGCCGTCTTCCTGCCTTTGAGTAAATACCTAAAACTGCAACTTCATATCTGATCCCTCGTGCTTATCCCAGATGAGTGGAATGATTTGGAGGGATTAAAGTTTGTCACTGAATAATTGTACTTTAGGAGATTAGACTAAAATATTGAACAAAAAGATAGAATTCTACTCACCCTAAAGTAGAATTCTACTCATCCTATTTAGACTGGGAAATAAATTAAAAACTGATTTGATTTTCATAATAATAAATAGAAAATATTCTTTTGGTCATTTCCAATTACAAAAGAATTTCCATTCAAATCATTCCTCACTTCAAATGTCTTAAATCTATGCAATGATACTCCCTTTGAAAAGCAGAGTTGACCTATGTGTGTCCCCCTCCTCTCCACACACACACACACACACACACACACACACACACACACCCGCTCCGCACAGTCCCCACTGTCTTCCACCTGGAAAGACAGAGAGCCCACTTACGAAAGAGGTTGGGGTCTGTCCTGACGGTTACTGTGAACCCATTTCCTGGTTCGTGGACCCGGAAGAAGATCATGGCCACATTCTGGGAGGATCTGATGCTCCTTCTGCCAAGACCACTCTCACAGAAATCTACGTACCGCTCAGTTGTGGGGAGAGGGTGGTCCTGGGAACTGGGGAACTTCTCCCCTTTGAGAATCCAACCATCAAACACCTTCCAACAAAAACACAGACACAGGTGATCACTCCTATCAGCTCCTTATGGGACAGGCATGGAATTGACAGCCTACACTCCTCTGCCCACTTGCTTTCCATCTGTATATATTTCTACGGTGAGGGTTATTTGCAAGTAATAATATTAATTATTTATTACATTTCTTTCTTTATAAACCTTAAAATTTCTAAAATAAGTAAACTTTATTATACTTCAGCCACTTTCATAAATCAAACTACAGAAGCACAAGTTGGGTTTCAGTCATTCTCTTGCTTTTCCTCATTGAAATATGAATAAAATATCTTATTCAGAGAGGAAGAGAGAGGGATAGAGAGTTAGAAACATCAATGAGAGAGAAACATCCATCAGCTGCTTCCTGCACACTCCCTACTGGATATGTGCCTGCAACCAAGGTACACGCCCTTGATCAGAATCGAACCTAGGACCCTTAAGTCCACAGGCTGACGCTCTATCCACTGAGCCAAACCAGTTAGGGCATAAAATATATATTTTTTAAAAACACTGCATCAGAAAAAAACTGAAGCTGCATTTTGACCCACCTGCCAATGGTTATACAATATATGCCCATCTTCCTTGTTTTTTGTTTGTTTTACTTTTATCAGAAATTAAAATTAAGTACTACTTCAACTTTCAGACCATGGCTGGTGTATATAGCTTAGGATTTCCCCCCTTCATTTGTTAAAGTTTGCAATTGGACAAAAGGTCCGAGCCCATTGGTTTTACTCTTAAAGCACCACAGGTCTCCAATTTACTGGGTCCAGCCCCCTTCCCATGAGCAATACCAGCTGCAAATTACTTCAGTCCTCTTCTGAAGCGTTTTGGACCAAGGCACCATTTTAAACACAATCCCCCTGTGCAGATTTTAATCACGCTCCTTTTAATCCTGGGCGGTGGAACTCCACCAGCCATTCCCAGCTGACCTGTTTGGCTTATGGACAATGACGGGGAGAAGCGAGGCGAGGTTGGGGGGCTTGTCCTCCCCTCCCACCTGCAGCAGACTAGATTCCCTCTCAGCATCCCTCCCAACAGCCTGATCCCACGGCTCTGAAGACCCCGTTCGGAGCCTGGCACATCTCCGGACCGGCAGGAGCAAAGCGGGCTCAGACCTGCGGGGTGGCCTCCTCTCAGCACCCGCCCCCTTGGCGGACCTGGGCGCTCGCTCGCGCATGTTTGTGCATCGGCCCAGGATTGCAATCCAGCATTTTAGCGACGGCAGTTCGAGTCTGGGGAAGCGTTGGCCCCAAGAGTTCACACAGAGGGGATTTTAAACCATTGCAACCTCTTGGGCACCAGTCCTTCCTGGCGTGGGGCTTGGTCTTGAGGTGGAGAGGAGGTTCCTGTCCCAGCAGAGCAGCTAACTTAGAATATCACGCCTCCCCCAAACTCAGCCGGCGCGGCACCCCCGCCCATTCCCTCCGCGAGGCTCCCTGGCTGCTCAGCAGGGCCGCCTCACCTGCAGGAAGTCCCCGCCCTGGCAGTCCATGGAGACCAGGTCCAGGTAGATGGTGATGAACTCCTCGGGCTCGCTGATGAAGAAGGCGGCGCAGTGCAGCTGCGGCCGGTCAGCGGTGAAGGTGAATTGGCCCTGGAGGCTCAGCATGTCCAGGCAGCCTAGGGGAGGGCAGTGTAGGGGCTAGGCGTCTCTGTTCCAGCCCCTGCAGCCCCTGCAGCGCCAACACCCCCTTCGTCCCGTTCCCCCCCCCCCCCCCCAAACACACACACACCTCCTGGCAGCCCCTCTGGGCACCCCTATTTCCAGGTTTGCAGCGCCCCGTGCCGGACTCCCAGCCGGACTGCCAGCCCTGGCTGCTGCGCGCCGCTCGGGTGCCTCAGGGCGCAACACGCCATCAGCTGCTGCGCCCCTGGTGGCACGGACCCTTAGCGATGGGAATCCTGCCCCTGATGGGCACCCCGCCCCTGGAGCCTCTTCTCTGTGGTGCCCGGGAGCCCGCTGTCCTGGGCGCAGCGCCCACACCTCCCACATCCCCGCCGCCTGGGACCCGCCGGGCACCGGGAACCCGCCGGGCAGCCCCCACTCACGCAGCGCGCGGCGGTACAGCGGCTCCCCCGCCAGCTCCCGCTTCAGGTGCGCGCCCAGGAGCAGGAAAGGGTCCTGGTCCCCGGCTTCCCGCAGCTGCAAGGAACGTGGGTCAGTTGGGAGAAGTTGAAAGGGTGGGAAAGCGGGCCAGGAGCAGGGCACCCCCTCCGCCTTCCACAGAGAACCAAGTGGTGGGGTACTTTCCATCAGACCAGGGTACCGTACCCTGGGCGGCCCGGGGAAGGAGGAAGAAAACCAGTCTGGGGAAAGACCGCACCCCAGAGAGGGAAGAAAGAGCTAACCCCAGCCAAGGCCAGCGCCTCTACAGCCCTGGCCTCCCCCCAGGGCTGGACCCTCCCCAGGGGAGGTGCGGTCGTCAGCCAGGGGACCACTCACCTCCAGGTACCGGCTCTCCCCTCGCAGGGCCACCAGGAAGATCAGGATGAAGCGACACTGGAGCCTGAAGGAGGGAGACATGCTGGTCCTGCCTCCGCAGCTGGTGCGCTCTCTACTCCACACCTTGTCCGGCTGAGGGCTGAGAGCTGGCAGCTGGCGGGGTCCCCTGGCTGGTCCTCTTTTATAGAGCAGGGAGGACGGAAGGCTGCCTGCTCCTTAACTGATCTGAGCTCAGTAACCATGGGTTACCCGGTCTCGGTGACACAGTGCGTGGTGATGACGAGGGTCCGGCGCTCTCCCAAATTTCCAGAGTGGGCTAGCATTAATCAGCAAGCACGACTCCAGACTCTGACAACTTACTGAACCCACGTGTGGGAGACACAATGAGGCGGGGAAAGAGAGAAAGGGAGGGCAAATGCTGGGCCTGGCAAATGCTGAATTATCCTCTCCTGGGCATACGTAAGGGATTTTTGGTTTTGCAAAGCAAAGTGACAAGGTGACACTCATGCATAAAATACCCAAACACATAATAACCTCACCATGCAGCCTTGCCTCATAACCTTGGATGGACTCGTGCTGGAAATTGTCAGAAAATATAATACTTATGCGATTGTCATGCCTCTCTGGGAGAAACTTGAGGTGCTTTCAGCTCCAAAAATAAGCAAAACAGAACGAAATCTGATTTTGCAGAACATTGCAATAATGTAATTCAAGCTTTCTTTCTGCCCTTTAGCCTTTGCTTTATCCTGGGCCAGTTTCTTGTAAGTGTTTCCCTAATGGAAAGCTAACTCTGGCGTCTGCGTGCTCCTGGACTTGAGCTGAGGAGCGGTCACTTAGCTTGAATGTATGTATACACGGCAGACTCTCCTGGGCCGGCTAACTGGGGTCAGGACACAGCGCCCAACTGAACCACTGAGAGAAAGTCATTCCATGTCACACCTCCAAACACCTGAATTACTTTAATATTCATGTAGAAAGAAGCTTAACTATAACCACTCATCAGCCAATGTACAGGGCTAACCAAATGACTTAGCCGTCCAGAAATAAGAATAAGCTTATCTTTGCTAATTAGACATGAAGAGAACTGAGTCTCTTTTGTGTCTAAAACTGTGGGAAATGTGGGCACATTCCACATTCACCTCTCTCACCCCTTTCCAATCCACATGTTAAGGAAGACAACTACAAGTCCTAAAGACTTTCATGTTGCTTTACCACTGCCTGACAGGAAACATGGCACTACCATAGCTTGCATTATTGTAAAATTACTACAAATAATGAGACCATAATACAGCGTTTTAATGCAAGGAAATGAAATGGTTCTATTTTTAGTTCACGAATACTCAAAATTAAGCAATGATTTACCTAGTGGTGTCAGAACTTTATATCTTCATATTTAAATCAATTCTGAGCTCTGAAGGGGCTGCCCCTTAGCTATTTACTAGTAAACAGGAGGCCTTCTTTCCATAGTTCCTAGACCATAGAGAGCATGAGAGGGAAGTTCCCCCAAAGGTCATAAACACGCCACCATGCCTTGCTCCCTATCCCAGGGTTGTACAGATATCTAAATTTTAAGGGAGTGGGGGATAAAGATACCCAAGAGGAATAAAAAAGGAGAAAAATAAATGGTTGAAACCCAACATAACAGGCCAGCTTCAAGTCTATCTCCCAGCAGTTTGTGCCAGAGGGAGGCTCAGGCACACTCATTCCATATGCCATTGGCCAGTCTCCTTCCCATTAACCCAGCCATGGCCTTGGCCAGCTCCCAAGCCACTCAGCTTGGAGAACCCCATTTATTCCACTCTGGGGTGTCTTGCTTTGCTACATCACCACTGAGACATTCTTCTCCAACCTGCCCCTACACACACACACACACACACACACACACACACACTCATGGACAACAATAATCTTCCTAATGTGCATTCATGATGCTCCCTTCTCAGGAACCACACACACGAAGAGCTGGGATGAAGCAGGACAAACATAACCACAATAGGTAACATCTTATTTTCTCCAATAACCCACAAGTATAGCAAAGGGATGTACTTTATTCCCACCAAATCCTATGTGGGGAAATTAATGTGTAATTTTCACTAGCTTGGCAAATATCTACTAAGCCAATGAAAACTGCATTGTGACTTTTATCTGGCTTTTGTTGGTTTGTTTGGTTTGGCTTGGCTTGTTTTTTAAGAGTAACTAAAGGATAAAAATTAGACACTACAAGGGAAACTAAGAAGATAGAATTGGAAGAAAAAAACAAGCCAGATAGCCATACCTCTACCAGCAAAGGTATTAAAAATGAGTGAGAACAATGGAAGTGCAATTTAGATTAGACAGAAGGAAAACATTTCTGGATAATAAATAGATCTAGGTCTGAGAACTGAAGATCAATTGTTTTCATACACTGATTTGGTCATTCAAACAACTAGCTTAATATTTGAAAGCTATTTGTTCCATCAAATTGACTGGCTATTTTGAAATATATTCTTAGTAAACTTAGAGTCCCCAGTCTGCAGTTGGAATGACCTGTATATTCACCTCCATTCTCTGCACGCATTTTAGTTTTTCTCTGTATTTTCAAAGACAACCTCTCCAATGCTGATTTAATGCAGTCCCTGGTCATTGTTTTGTTTTGTTTTTAGGTGTAAAGCTATTGTTAGGCAGGGTTAAGACATTGTTTTTGTTACATAAGATGAAGATATTTTTCCTTTTGTAAAGCCCCAGTGCAAATTGTTACCTGTGTTAAACCTGAAGGTGGAGGTGGCTGCACAATCAAGATCCACATATAATCCATGAACATGAGAGCAGGGCAGGTTTTAAACTGCTGAGCCTGAAGAGGCATAAGCAGAGCACTTCTAAGTAAAATATGGGGGTACTTTATAGTCACCCACATGACCCATGATGTGATTGTGACAGCCAAATGAGAGCTTATGGACCAAGGTGTCAGAAGCAGCAAGAATCTCAAATCTCTTTCTAGTCTAGGTTTGGTGCAAAGACCTTCTCAAAGTATTTCCTACCTGTAATAGTAAACTTTACCTTTCATTAGTCATTTCAGCAGAGAATACAACCAATCCATGCTTTAGAAAATGTTCCTTTTCCTTTTGCTGCCTGATTCGTTGCATTGTTGGGAAATGGGACATCTGATTGAGTTAAGAAGTAAATGAAGATGATTGAATAAAACTCATTTAGCCAATAGCAACAACTAACTTTCAATTGTTTTCAAGATGACTTGCTCTTTGAATGAATTTGGCTATTTTTTTTAAATGCAACCCTTTTTAATAGGTTTAATTTATTTTTTCACATCAGTTTGGGATCAAGAAGGAAGAACCTAAACAAATACACTTGGGGGAACCATTAGCCTTTGAATTAAACCTTCAAATGTCAGTGATTTTCAACCCAAATCCAGCAGTACTAAACATTAGGATTTTGAGGGTAGCAAGTGATTGACAGCAAACCAGAAGTTAAGCAAAAAGGGGAATTATTATCAGGACAAAGGGACATCTTCATGGACAGAAATCAGGAAGCAGGGGCTCAAATCCTACCTGCCTGATTCTGTCACAGGCTACCTTCACCCCACTTCTCAGTCTGTATGCCTATGAATAAGCCACCAATAAATTTCTAAGCTTCACATGTTACAATTTGACAAATAAAAATATCCTGAACCAATATTCTCATAATCGCCTGTCCACAAAGCTTTGTGGGAAAGGCTGTAAGGCCAGGGGATAGGATCCTGTCACAACATGACTGTTCCCCTGACAGCATATGGATGGAAAAAAAGAGAAGCAATTTCCAGAAAAAAGGATGCTGGATTCACAAAATAATGGGTATCTTCAACAGAGTGAAAAAGCTCAAAACTAAAAGCCCTGATTTTGTGACTTCTTTGATCATAAGTTTTCTCACCTGTAAAATTACTTTCCTCACTGGGAATTATTATACGAATTAAATATGATATATCTCCTACATAGAGAATAGCCTTAGATAGTAGCTATTAATAAATTATGCCAATCATATTATGTCTTTATCACGAGGGCTTTCCTTCTAATGATGATTTCATAAGAGTGCATGCATAGCATATGTTTTTCATATTACTATTAAAATATAATGAATGGCTTCCTATTAGAACATTAAGAGACTTCAAAAGCCATAGTTAGAAAAGGAGAGAACTCAGTTAAAGTATAATTACAGAACTGCATTTCAAAATGCTAGCTAGGAATGGATCCCATTAAAGATTATGTCCCTTAATGGACAGTGGCTTAGCTGCATCAGAGAGAAAAGCTGAATGGAGAGAGCAGTAGAATTGAGAAGATTGAGGAAAGGGGAGAGTTGGAAGTTATAAAGCAGAAACAGAAGATAATTAGGAACTGCTCAAGGAGAACAGCATGTTGATTCTACATCAAGGACTGTTGGATAACATCCTTTGTTTAGGTGTGGGGACATAGAGAATAAGAAAGAAGTGATCTGACAAGGTTTCCAAACCAACAGTGGTGATGGGAGGAAAGACAACAAAGTAAAAGATCCCTCTGTATTCAGCCAAGTAATCAATCCTTCAAAGAAAACATCCCTGCAAAAAAATTATATGTTAGGTTTTAAAAAATTACCAAACGAGGAGCAAACAGCGAGGTGGCGCTGGCCAAAGTGGGACCCATCACTCACTGCCAAGGGGCTTCTGTTTGTGCTGTGGCTCCCTTGACTTTGGAGTGACATTGTTATCTCAACTCGCTTCAGGCTGCCTCTAAAATATGCCATGACTAACATCGAGCCAGCTATCACAATGACATGCCATTTAATAACTCCTCGCTGCCTGCATCAAGGGGAAAAGTACAGCTGGGCCAGGGCCGGTGTTTGTCATTGGGCAGAGGTGACGCGCATCTGCACGTCACATCAGCCTCTCCTCTGACGGAAGAGAAATGAAGTGTGAAGAGTCTCATTATAGTGTCTTAGAATAGATCTAAAGGAGAAAAGCCTGCCAGTTAGGTGGAGTGACACGAGAAGCTCTAAATAAGGAAAGCAACCGGAAAAACGGCAAGCTAGGTGTGGTTAGCTATCTGTGGTGCCTGCTTTGCTCACTTTTGTGGGACCCCTGCCACCAGCCAGCCTGCTTCCCCATCTACCAATCCTTCCTTCCTTCTTTCCTCCCTTCCTTCTTTTTTTATAAAAATTTATTTTATTGATTTTTTACAGAGAGGAAGGGAGAAGGATAGCGAGCTAGAAACATCGATGAGAGAGTAACATTGATCAGCTGCCTCCTGCACCACCACCACCCCCCACTGAGGATGTGCCCACAACCAAGGTACAAGCCCTTGACCTTTCAGTCCACAGGCCGATGCTCTATCCACTGAGCCAAACCGGTTTCAGTTTTCCTTCCTTCTTTCCTTCCCTTACTTCATTCCTTCCACAAACTCTGAGCAACAGATTTAACTGCCCTATACTCATAGTTTTGTATATATAAATTAGAGGCCTGGTATAAGAAATTCGTGCATGGTGGTGGTGGGGGCGGGGTCTCCCTCAGTCTGGCCTGCACCCTCTCGAATCCAGGACCCCTTGGGGGATATCCAACTGCCTCTTGCAATCTGGGACTGTTGACTCCTAACTCTTCTGCCTACCTGATCATCCCTAACTACCTCTGCCTTGCCCCACACCCGGGACCCAGGATTCCCTCCTCTGGCGTGTTACAGGCATCCAGAACCTGGGCTTCCCTCTCTCTGGCCAGCTGCAGGCACCCAGGACCCAGGTTAGCTTCACCCAGGCCAGCCACTGCCATAGGGAGTTATGGGTGGGCAGCTTCACCCAGGCCACAGGCACCTGGGGCTGCGGGGCAGGTGGCCTGTCACTCACTCTCCAGGGCCGCAGCCCCAGCTGCTGGTGCCCAGGACCATGTGGTGTGTGGCTTGTCCCTCTCCCAGGCCTCAGCCTGGCTGGTCCCCAATTCTCTCTCCCCAGTATTGAGTTTCTGAGCCGTTACTGCCTAATGGTGTGAGGGCCCGATGGCCATTTGCATATTAGCTCTTTATTATATAGGAGGATGCCTGAAAAGCCTTTATTATATTTATTTCAACTTTTAATGTGTCTGTCTTCAACTCTAAATGTAAACACATGGAAGTCTGGCCCTGAATTTCGCCCACCTCTATTCTCCCATCTAGCACACACACACACACACCCCTGGCACTACAGGGTGGTACCTAAAAGCAAATTGAATAGAGGGGCTTCTGCTTCTCCACCTAGTTATAAAGAATTGTCTCCACTAAACATTTTCACCAGCTGACAACATCCAAAGACATGGCACCAGCCAGGTAAAGGGATTTGTATGGTTAAACCTGAGGAAAGGGAAGAACAAAGGTGCTGAAACCGATCCTGGAGTCAGCTCTAGGAGACCACAGTCACCTGTTGGGTGGGCAGTAAGAAAGGTGAGAGGGAGCCGGAGGTACAGAGCTGGGAATCAGGAAGGAAAATTAATGCCAAAAAGTCCATGATGAACAAAACATCAAAGTTTGAGATAAAGACATCATTGGTCCTAGTGGATTTTCCTGTTGCCTCCGGCTTTATTCTGGCTCGACACAGCACTGTGCAGGGAAATACACACAGGCAACAGTTACTCCCTGTGGGAGTAACTAAGAGTTCCAGGGGTTTCATTCCGGTTTCGGTGAGTGTAAACAAAAGGGCTCCGGATTAGGTGTCCCAAGCCCTGGATCACCGACTGGGAGCCTGGGGAAGTCATTCACGTCATTTGTAAGATGAGAGAGGTGAGTGTAGCTTTCAAGATCACAGCAGGAAACAGATGGTGGAGAGCTTAAAACAAAAAAACTCTGTAGAAGTGTGGGCAGCATGCAGGGAAACCACAAGGGAGAGTGCCGTGTTCTGGGACTAAGAACAGAGAGGAAGTAGGGTGAGCAGGGTGAGATGAAAGGGAGGGTGGGTGGAAGCTGTTCAGCCCTGGAAGCTAGTGGGTCTGTAAGGTCCTGGGATGGTTTTAAAACTGGTCTGTACATTTTTTGGCACTCTTCCCACAAAAGTGAAGTCTCATTCCTTTTTAAGAATATGGCTTGATTTGGTGATGTGCTGCTAACAAATTGTCCAAGGGACACTGCGATTCCTGAGGCTAACTTAGAAAAAGGCCTGAGCTACCAGGTAAGGAGTCCAGCTACCATGAAGCTGCCCTGCTGGAGACCACACAGATATAGGGGGCAGCGCCCAGCTGTGTCGTTCAGTCCCCAGATGTTTTGGTCATCTGAGCCCAAGTACCAGACCCCTGCATAAAGAAGCCCCTGAGGTGACCCCAGTTCCCAGCGGGCAGCTGATGACGACATCATCAGACCCCAAGCCAAAGCCACCCACTGAGTCCTGCCCAACCACCACCCACAGGAACCACAAAAGGTCAAAATTGACTGTGGTTTTAAGTCACTACGTTTTGGAGGGATGTGCTCTACAGGAACAAATAACTAATATAGGCCTGCCTTAGTCTGTCCTGGCCATTCCTCTAGAATGCCACCGTCAGGCTTATAAACTACAGAGATTTATTTCTCACAGCTCTGGAGTCTGGAAGTCTAAGATCAGGGCACAGTCAATGTCTGGTGAGGTCTCACTTCCGGGTTCACAGACAGATGTTTTCTTCTGTGTCCTCACATGGTGGCAGGGACTGGGGAGCTCTCTGGGGTATTTTTTTTTTATAAGGGCACTAATTCCATGTATGAGGGCTTCACTCTCCTGACCTCATCACTTCCCCCAGGCCCCGCCTCCAACCACCGTCACACTGAGGGGAACACAAACATTCAGTCGGTAGCATGGAAGGCCTTTTCTGTATCTAATCTACATTTTCCAGGGCTCTGACTTAGGGTCCCCAGGTGCCCCAGCTGTGTGACAGTCTTTGTTTGTGAAGCCCTTGAGCTGAATCACCATCTTCAAGACGTGACCTTGTGGGGGATATAAGTTTTACGTAAAATTATTGGCTATGTTTTAGGGAGGCAGCGGGATGTAGGAGACAAAGATGCATATATCAATATTTTCCTTACAAAAATGAAATTATAGTGCATATACTATGTTGCAATGTGATTTATTTTTGTCATATATCACAAACATGATTTTATGTTATTAAATAAACTTTCCCAACATCACTTAAATGGTTGCATAGGATTCTATTGACATATTTTATTTAATAAATACCCTATTGACCATTTCTGTGTTTCTAATAATTAACTACTCTAAACAAACCTATGGATAATTTTAAACCTATTTTGGTTCTTTAGACTTAATGCTAAAGACCTTACTGGAGCCTAAACTGGTTTGGCTCAGTGGATAGAGTGTCAGCCTGCGGATTAAAAGGTCCCAGGTTCAATTTCGGTCAAGGGCATGTACATTGGTTGCAGGCACA